CGAGTAAACGTATAAAATGACTTTTAACGTGTCAATAGAGCATATGGATCCGTGGATGGGAATTACTAGGGTTCATAAACCAACCTAAAGAGGTATTAGGTTTTTAGAATGGTAAAATGATCATTTTATTTGCCAAGCGGAAATATACAGGTTCAAATAGAAATTTAGCCCTCGGCCACCTTTTGAAAGAGCAGGTAACATTTTCAGTAAATACGTCCAATTCGTCACAAAATACATTCGCAAAATCACTTTAACTTGCTTACATTATAAGAAGATGAACGGACGGCATGTCCCTTGTGTTTACCTATTTTCCAGAAAACAGTCCCAACATCTCATATAGAATAATCTCATGTCCAAAAGCCGTTCACTAGGCTTAAAGTCATATAAATACAAAAATCAAGCTAGAAACATTTCCGGATAAAAACAGTTTGTGACACCATTTTGCGGTTTTGGCACCATTGGCGCTACGATTATCGGATTAGGGTGTAAGACCCACCATTTCGAAGCTAAGAACCAGGGCTACAATAATGTAGAAGGTCACTCAGTCCAAATCCCATCACAACTAAGTCAAATATGCCAAATAACAAACCAGAACCGTAATTGCAGGTTTACAAATTACACTATGCTGTAATCAGTACAACTCAGTCTAAACAGGTCCAAATGCAGAAATTCCAAAGGAATATGGTAGCTAGGACATCAAGCTACATTACATCAGAAGACCTCAACCACCAAATCCAAAGCAATTCCAGTCAAAACAGCCAATTACAAACGCAGTTCGGCCATCCTGAAGAACCCAGAACAGCAACAGTAAAATCGACATTTCTCACTCTACACTACTCTAAATGACCTGAAATTTTACAGGCACTTCAAACACATCAATACCTACAACTTTAATGTTTTAAGCCAAGGCCAATTCGGCCTCTAACCATATGATACAAAACCGGACAGAAAAGGGGATATGAAACCCTAACTTTTCACATTTCCTTCCAAATCCAAAATTGGTTGCAATTATCTATCATATACACCTACTAGAGTCATTACCCTTCATTACCAACCATCATAGATAACCACAACATCATGATCACATTAAACCATAAAATTCATCAATAAAATAAAAACTTCACCAATTCATCTCAAACCAATAAATAAACCACAAATTTCAGCACTTTAGCTACCACTAAGCACATCTTAAGCTTCATTAAGTGTAGGAGGAAGTTCAATCACCACTTACCTAGTAAACAAGAGAGAAGGAGTTGTAGGACACCTTAGCTTCCTTGAACACTTTCACAAAATCACTTACTAGCACCAAATGGAGGGATTTTATGGAGTAGAAACAAATTTCAGCAATTGGTTTGGATGATTTGCACTAGATGGTAGCTAAAAGTTTGAAGAGTTTTCTTCCCTCTTAAGCTCAAGATGGCCGGCCAACATGGTGAAAGAAAGAGTGAATATTTGGTCAATTTTGAGATATTTAATCAAATGGTAAAGAAAGGTCAAAAAGGTGAATAGTTGTCTTAGGCTTCAACCAATGGAAGTGTGACACTTGTCACTCCATTAAATGCATTTCTATCCTTTTGTTTCCTCTCACATCAATCACATCTCATCCTCTACTTATCTCTTAACACCCGATAAATTTCACCCAGTATCCGGAACTTAACCTAATTGGTCGAATTTTTCCGAACTTTTCGCCCTAGTGGGTCCCACATCCGGTATACACTCTTAATTTCTCAACAACTAACCGATACTAGAAAAATCATTTTAAAACTATATTTACTCATAAAATTGATCTAGAAAAATTTTCTAATAAAGAAAATGCAGAAAACGTGCAATTAAGAAAAGTACGGGTCCTCACATAAAGAAACCTAAGCTACTACCTTTCTTGAGGTGTCAAGGTATGATGTGTAGAAATTCATTGTTTGTTTCTAATAATGGTTTATTACTGACTTGTAGTAGCTAAAAATGTTATTTTGTGAAGAGTTGATGACTTTTAGTGGAGTTTGATAAATTTCTGATTTTATTCATGATTTTTCTGATTTTATATGATAAGTGTTGGTTGGCCATGGATGATGGCTTGATATGGTCTAAAGTGAAGTTTTGGTGTGTTAATTGTAGTTATTTGCAAAAAATTTCACCTTTGTGCGAAAATTTCAGATTTAGGGTTTCAATTTGGGGCTTTTCTAGGGTTGTTGTGGAACTCTTGATTTGGCTTTGATTAAAGGGCATTGTAACCCTAATAAGGTGTATTGAATGGCTTGTGAATTGTAATTGTAGTTGTGGTGGTGTTGGATGAATATAAATGATTAATTGTAGGATGGAAAATCTAAAATTTTAGGGGTTATGCTGTCCAATTTTTAAGTTTAGGTGATTTTGTGGTAATTGGCTTGTTGTGAGTGGACATGGGTGCCTTTAGGGGTTGTCTAAACATTTGGCACCCCTTGTTCCATATTTTGTTTCCAAGTTCTATTTTGGCCATGCATTAGTTGCTTTGATTAGGTTTATGACTCGTGTGCGAGTCTCACTTGCGTTTGTGATTGTTATAGGACGTGCCGGTGACTCAAGGCATACGTCGGGCGAAAATTTGTGACTTTGCTTTGCTTGAATTGGTGAGTGTACTACTCACGTGATTGTTATTTCATGGCTTTATTGTACTTGAAATCTGTGACTGGATTGTTTGTGATTACTGCTTATGCCAGATGAGACGAGGGTGTACTCGATCACTCTCATACTCTATGGCTTATTTGACCGTTTACTGTATCACATTAAAATTTCTTGATAATACTTGAACTAATGTCGTTTGGATGCGTATCCAACTACCATTACTGTTACCTCTGAGCTCAACCTCATTGGAAGTCAATTGACTAGAGCCAGTAAGGACTTGGTCGAGGAAAATTGACAAGCCATGGAGACCGTTGTGGGGAATCTATGGGTATGAGACCCTTTATTCCGGTATACTCGAGTATTACCATTTCTGATCTACTTGGTGTTCGGGCCCGGTAACGGGAATGTGTGGTGGACGGAAATCGGAGTAAAGTGGGGTCTACAGTTGTGATTATTCTTTGTATATTGACGGAGAGTCGATGAAATGAGATCAAGTATGGCAAATAAGGAAAAGGGCTCTTGAGAGCCGTCCGTATCCTTTTACTCTCATTTGTTGTGTGGTGTTAGTTTTGCGCACTTGATGAACGTATTTGAATTGAGTATCATTATGATTATGTGCTCCTTGAGTGCTTGAGTGATGGTACCTCACTGGGCGAAAGCTCACTCCGTTAATTTTGTTTTCCTTACAGGAAACAACCTTTTGAACCTGTGATTTTGAAGAATGAGTTGAGCTAGTCTAGATATTTTTGTATAGCTCCTCAGTGGTTGGAAACCCTAAATGTATCTTGAATCAAATGTTCCCATTTGATTTGTAAATATACGAATATGGTATATAAACGTGTTTAGTCATGTTCATGTGTTATTTTGGTTTGTAAATGTCCATTGTAAAGGATTATATGAAGTTACTTGTATTCGATTGGGTTTTGGACAGGTTCGGAATTTGAACGAAGAAGGAAAAATTTTGGCGGGAAATTCTGTGAAGAAATCCGGCCAGTTTTTGGCCGGATTGCCAGCCAGAGTGGCATGGATTTTTGAATCCGTTGGTTTTCAGCTACTGCCTCCAATCCGGCCAGGAATCCGGCCTGATTGTGATGTGGCAGTCACTATTCACTTTCCGTTTCGATTTTTGTTTTTCCGTTTTGTGATTGTTGATTTGTTTGAGTGTGCTAATGTATTCCGAAACGATTCTAGTTGTGTATAACCGTCTTAGTAGTTCTGGCGAGAGTTGGGCAGGCAGTCCGCTGACCCCTTTGGTACGCCTTAGGGGAAGGTGGGGCTGTCACAGTTGGTATCAGAGCCTAGGTTAGAAATGACTTAGCCAAGTTTGACTTGGGCTGCTTAGGACCTGTGGGGACTGTGTTAAGACGTTGTTAAGTGTGATTATATTGTCTAAGATGTAAACCTTTGCTATCATTTTAGGTTATAGCTGGAGCGAGTGGAGAGGGCGGAGGTGAGCCACCTTGGAGGCGCCCACAAGTCATTGATTACCAGGAGAGGCCGGGAGGTCCGATCCGACTTTGGTATACCGCTAGTCGGACCCGTCGCCGTAGGCGTTGCCAGAATTACTCTTATGCGGACCATGTGGTCGTGGCGGTACTAGATGAATGAAGGAGGCTTAGACGTTCCGTCGCCAGGGATCACACTGAGACTCTTAGACTGAGGGGCATCATGAGGTTGCAAGCTGATCAGATTTGGGAGCTCCAGGGGGATATAGCCATGGAGCAAGAGCGCACGAATGCTCTGAGGAAGCAGTTGCAAGTGGTTAACAACTGCTTCACGAATGTGGTTCGGGAAGTTAGAGACCGTTCCGACGGTATCATTAACGAGTGCAAGGCGCTAATCCAAGGGGTGATTGGCGCCAATGCGTAAGTGGAGGCTTCTAGTGATGAAACACCTGGAGAAAGGAGTACCCCTAGTTCTAGCCAAGGGGGAAAGTCAATGGGTTCCGTGGGGAACTAGGCTAGAACTCTTTTGGGTTAGGTTTTGATTCCATGGGAGGAGTAGGTTAGGGGATGAACTTTTAGCTAGCCGTTTTTGTATGTTTGGACTAGCTTTATACATATCACTTTTGATGACTCCGTTATCTCATGGAATTTCTTTTGTTGGTATCTAGCTGGTTGTTATTGTGTAACTTGTTTGATATGGATGTGTTATGTGTACATATGTGTTTGATTTGTGAGTATTTCCTGTTCCTTGTTTACACTTACGGCTATCTTTAATATTATATTTATGCTTTGGCCCTAGATTGGTTAATTTCGATGGAGGGAACCCGTAGTGGACGGGGTCGTGGTCGTGGAATTAGGTAACCCTCGAATGAAGGGGGTAACCAAGAACCAATACGTGAACTGAATCCTGAACCTAGGGTCGATCCGAATGTTCAAGTAGCCGCAACCATCGAACGAATGACCGACTTGTTGGCTCATGTAGTAGAGCATCAGGGTCAAAACCCTAGTCCCCAACCCGAAAACCCTGGGAACCCTGATAATTTTGTGGAAAGCGAGGATAGGGTCCTCGAAAGGTTTCAGAAATTTTTCCCACCAAAGTTTAATGGCGGGCCAGATCCGGATGTGGCCGAAAGATGGTTGGAAAAGATGGTGGACATTTTTGCTGCCCTGCACTACACGGAAGAGAGGCAGGTAACTTTCACTGTCTTTCAACTAGAATGGGCAGCCCGTTCTTGGTGGAACGTGATTCGCTTAAAGTGGGAAAGAGAACAAACACCAAAGACATTGGTGAACTTCATGAGGGAGTTCAACGCTAAGTTTTTCCCTCATCTGATTCAAGAACGAAAAGAAGATGAGTTTATTCGGCTCCACCAGGGGACCCAGACCGTACCCGAGTATGAGAGCCAGTTCACTCGATTGTCCAAATTTGCCCCTGAATTAATTGTGACCAAACAACGGAGAATAAGACGTTTCGTTCAGGGCCTGAATGTGGAGATTCAAAAGGACCTAGCTGTAGCCCCAATTAATACTTTTAGTGAGGCCGAGGAGAAGGCTCAACGAGTGGAAAGTGCCAGGCTACAAGTAAGGAACTTCCAAGATAAGAAGCAAGGCTTTCCCGGTAGTAGTTCAGGGCAGGGGAATAAAGGTACCCCTCCCAAGTTTGGAAGGGGGACCAGAGGAGGAAGGCAGCCAGGAATGTGGAGAGGGGCCCGCCAAGGAACGGCCAATTTGGGCTAGGCCAAAGGGGAGGTTCTCAAGGAGGTTCGGTTTCTGCATCTCGCGGTCTCTGTGGGTATTGTGGAAAGCCAAACCACATGGAGGAAGGAAAGAAAGTGTTTGCACTGTGGGAGTGCAGACCACCAAATAGCCAATTGCCCGGTTTTGTCACGAGACAGAAAGGGATGCCAGCAACCGACGAGGACCAATTCTGGATCGGCTAAGGTGGAAAGGACCAAACCTAAAGTGTCAGCTCAAGTGTACTCGCTAGAACCCCAACAGGTCCCTGACTCTTCTGAGGTCGTAGAAGGTACGATCCTTGTATTCTACCGATTTACGAAAGTTTTAGTAGACCCAGGTGCCACTCATTCATTTGTTAACCCCGATTTCATGTGTGGAATTGATATAAAACCTGCTAGTTTACCATATGACCTAGAAGTTAGCACTCCTACGGGGGAACACCGTCTACTCACTAGTATGGTTTATAAGAATTGTGAAGTTTGGGTAGGAGAGAGAAAATTGTTAGGAGACTTAATAACCTTGTCCATTAAGGGGTATGATGTAATTTTGGGTATGGATTGGTTAGCTCGGTATAATGCTCAACTTGATTGTAAGAGAAAAGTGGTAGAATTTCGTATTCCTGGGGAGGCGACCTTGAGGTTAGACATAAGGGGTAGGTTAGGCTCATCTGCTTTGATCTCGGGTATTCGGGTTAGAAAATTGCTATGTAGAGGGGCGCAAGGGTTCTTAGCCTTTCTAATCAATACCCCTACCGATAAACTGAAGGTAGAAGATGTGCATGTGGTGAAGGAATATCCAGACGTGTTTCCTGACGAGTTGGTAACCCTACTCCCGGAGAGAGAGATAGAATTCAAAATTGATTTGTTACCGGGAACGTCACCTATCTCTAAAACCCCATATCGGATGGCCCCAGCCGAACTTAGGGAGTTAAAGTTACAATTACAAGATCTATTGGAACGAGGGTTTATTCGTGAGAGTGGATCTCTGTGGAGAGCCCCTGTGTTGTTTGTGAAGAAAAAGAATGGGAGTTTGCGGATGTGTATAGACTATCGAGGGTTGAATAATGTAACGGTTGAGAATAAATAACCACTGCCCCATATCGATGAATTGTTTGACCAGTTGCAAGGAGCAGTGGTCTTCTCGAAGTTAGACCTCCGATAGGGATACTATCAATTGTTAATTAGGAAGGAGGACATACCAAAGACTACATTCAATTCTAGATACGGGCATTTCGAATTCGCAGTCATGCCCTTTAAATTAACCAATGCCCCTGCTGCTTTAATGGATTTGATGCATAGAATTTTTAAACCCTACCTGGACCGATTTGTCATTGTGTTTATCGATGACATTTTGGTTTATTCAAAAATCCGAGAGGAACATGAGCAGCATCTACGAATTGTCTTACAAACCCTAAGAGAGCATCAATTGTACGCAAAATTTAGTAAGTGTGAGTTTTGGCTGGAGAAGATTTCTTTCTTAGGGCATGTAATCTCACAAGAAGGTATCTCTGTTGACCCGGCGAAAGTAAAGGCAGTGACGGAATGGAAGAGGCCAAAAAATTTCACTGAGATTCGTAGCTTTCTAGGGTTGGTTGGGTACTATAGACGTTTTATTAAGGACTTTTCTAGACTTGCCGGCCCTTTAACCCACCTGACAAAGAAAAATGGTTGTTTTGTGTGGGTTATTAGGTGTGAAACTAGTTTCCAAGAATTGAAAATAAGATTAACCATGGCTCCCGTACTAGCTCTACCTAACGGAATAGATAGTTTTACTGTTTCTACTGATGCCTCGAGGGAAGGTTTGGGGTGTGTGCTAATGCAAAATAGGAATGTGATATCTTTTGCCTCTAGGAAATTGAAAACTCATGAGCAAAACTACCCAACCCACAACTTAGAGTTAGCTGCAGTTGTTTTTGCTCTGAAGAAGTGGAGACACTATCTGTACGGCGTAACTTTCGAAGTTTACTCTGACCATAAGAGCCTTAGATACCTCTTCTCGCAAAAGGAATTGAACATGAGGCAGCGGCGATGGATGGAATTTCTGGAGGACTACGATTGCACTATCAACTACCACCCAGGGAAAGCTAACGTAGTGGCCGATGCCTTAAGTCGAAAGGCTCAAGTTGCGGGGTTAATGATTAAGGAGTGGGACTTGTTAACATCAATTAGTGAATGGAATCCTTGTCTTGGCAATAAGAAGGTGATTTTTTGTAACATTAGGGTGACATCCACTTTACTGAAGAGAATTAAAGAGGCACTGAAGAGAATTAAAGAGGCTCAGAAGGAAGATTCGATGGTACGGAAGTGGGGGGAAAAAGTGGAAAAGGGAGAAATGCCTGATTTTAATCTAAATCCTGAGGGAGTTTTGAGATATCGAAATCGAGTGGTGGTACCCAAAGATGAAGTATTGAAAAGGGAAATCTTGGAGGAAACTCATCGGTCAAAGTATACAATCCATCCGGGTAGTAGTAAGATGTATCAGGACTTGAAAGGGGCCTATTGGTGGGACAATATGAAAAAGGAAATTGCTCAATACGTGCAAACTTGTCTCATCTGTCAGCAAGTTAAGGCAGAACATCAAAAATCATCTGGATTGTTACAACCCCTTGAGATACCCAAATGGAAGTGGGAAAACGTAACAATGGACTTCGTTTCGGGTTTGCCACGAACACAATGAGGACATGATGCAGTTTGGGTGATCGTTGATCGGTTAACCAAATCGGCCCATTTCTTACCGGTAAACATGAAGTATTCCATGGACAAATTGGTTCAGTTATATATGGATGAGATTGTAAGATTACACGGAGTCCCTGTGAGTATCGTTTCGGATAGAGATCCTCGTTTTGTGTTTAGATTTTGGCAAAAGTTTCAAGAAACCTTGGGGACCAAACTCAACCTTAGTACCACTTATCACCCCCAGACAGATGGGCAATCTGAGCGAACCATTCACTACAAGAATTTTGGCCATCAGTGACAACTACCTTTCGCCACAAAAAAGCAAAAAGTCGTCACTGATGAACTTTATTGACAACATTTCGGTTGTCGCAGGGTCGTCACTGAATCTCCGTCGGTAAAAGTATATAGTGACGACCTTAAAGTTGTCAGTGAATAGAAACTTTTTTATGACAAGATATGTCGTCAGTAAAAGCTATAACTTTAGTGACGACATATTTTCTTGTCAATGATGCATGAAGCAACGGTAGTGAGTGTATATACTAATTAGTGACAACTTTGTTGTCAATAAACCCCTTATCAACTGTGGCAACAACCCCTTATCAATGGACAATTTTGATTGACTGACAACAACAATTGTCAATAAAGACAGCTTGCCTGGAGAAATACTACTCATTTACAACACCTTGCAATGTGTAGTTTGATGATTTTTCTACTACAATAATATCTAAAAATTGAAAACATCGGCAATGTTTAATAAATAACAAACGTAGGCACTCGTTACAATAGGAAATGCCAGAATAACATATTAAATATTCAAATGTCATAAATAAGTGCAACATCACACTACAAATAGTTTGATAAATTTCAGTAGAGAAAATTTTGACATATAAGTCAAGGCTGCACTAAAAAAACATATTACAAGTCCCAAAACATTTTCTGTGCTACCGAAACATTTTCTAAACTTAAGACAACGCTATAACCACAGTTTTTGAGTCGACATGTAAGCTGTACTGCTAATCTTCTTCCAAGCCTCCAAAATGTACGAGATATTTGCTTCACCCTTCACCTGATATGTAGGTTAATAATCACAAATAGATGAGCACACTCATTGATAGGAATAAAAAAGTTCCATAAATTTACATAAGCAGCATAGTGCCTTTAATAAGCCTAAAACTTTCATAATGGAACACTGGGAAAAATGTCATCAACTATGAACTATTACATATTGGAAACAGTAGTAGACTAAACTCCTATAAATAAACACATACAGAAGTATATAAATATGACAGATTATCCACACATGAATATGTAGTTACCATAAAAGTGATGAATTATGTTCTTTACTTGTTCTTTTACAAAGAGTTGTTATCAGATCACTTATAACACATATAAATTGACATTTTACAAATTTTTGGAGCAAAAAATTTTTTTTTCTTTAATTATCAGTAGGGGCATATCTATTAATTTCAAAGCTAAACAATTGTTTATTGAATTTCTATATGCAAAATTGAAGGTTTCCTTTGGCCAACAGGGACAGGTGCCCCCACAGGCCATAATCTAGATCTGCCCCTGGATGCTGGACTGTTTAACAGAAGCTCAGGTGATGCATAAGTATGAAATAAGGTTCTAAAGACGCTCATAGTACATCAACATGCAATAGGTTATGAGGCACTTAGCTTCAGCAGCAAAAAACTTATGTACCAATGTAGTGTATCAGTACATTTCAACCGAAGACAGAAGAACTTGACAAAGAAACAGCAAAGCAAAGGGCAAAGGAAAGAACACTGAAATTATAGGATTTGCACTTACTAGCACTTTTGCACTTCCAAAATCACAAATCTTCACTTGTTGACTAAGAGGATCAACCTGAAAAGACAAACAATGACTGTCAAGGAAAGGAAAAAAGAAAAAGAAACAAGCATACTGAAGTCAAACATGAAGACAATATATACCAAAACGTTTTGGGGCTTCAAGTCTCTATGGCATACTCCAGCAACATTATGCAAATACGCTAGACCTCTGAAAATCTGAAAAACAACTACAAATTTAGCTTCACTCAAGCACTATAGAACACTGCAAATATACTAGCACGGAAGCAACCCACATACTTGGTAGGTGTACAGTTTAACATAAATCAGTGGCATCGTCTGGTTGATGTTCCTATAATGCTTTAGAACCCGATACATTGCCTCAGGGACATACTCCATTACTAAATTGAGAAAAAGCTCATCTTTACTAGTAGTTGAAAAAAAGCAATGCTTTAGAGACACCACATTTGGGTGATCCATTGTGCGCATTAACTACAATTCACGATTCTTGTATCGCCTGTCCTATAAAACCTTCTTTATAGCCACAATTTCTCCAATTTCCAAACATTTTGCCTACATGAGCATGCATAACCCCAGAAATTAAAGCAAAAAGATTAGCAAATGAAAGATTAGTATAATTTTGTAATCCACATACCTAGAAAACAATTCCAAAAGATCCAGTCCCCACAACCCTCTCTGCCATGTAACTAACAGTCTACAAAATGAATCAAGCAGTGGAAACAAGTTTTCAATAATCTCTTGAGCAAAATTGATCAGATCATGTCAAAGTCTTATGTAGTTATCCAACAAGTAATATGATTATTCAACAATTCCAAAAAATGCAAAGCAGAGTCAGCAAAGCTAATATTGGATGTACAGAAAATGCAACCTTAGTGCTACTGAATGAAAATAGGCAGCATCAACAAATGCAATTCAACCAGTTAATAAGCAAACAAGAACCACAATTCTACCTGCTTGGGTTCAAAATGATATACTAAAAAATGTTTTTTTTTAAGAAAAAAACAACAGAAAGATGAGGCTCAGATTTCTTTTATGAATCGTACAGAGACATTGACTGCGCCATGGCTGCAAAATCTGCAGCTGCTCATACATGAGACGAGACCAACTGCTGAGTTTGCCTAGCCAAGTTACGGGTCGGTTCGTCTCCAATGTCCGATTTGATTTGCTCAGAGATAATGCCCAACAAATATCATCACCGCCTCTTTTCCATAAACGCCGAATCCTTCCACCACCACCTTCATCTCATATTACACTGTCGCCAAAAAGAAAGAAAAGAAAAAAAAGAAAACTCGCAACGAGGGCTTCTTCCCTGTTATTGTTAAACACACACACACACACATGTTGATATGCATACGTGTGTTTGTGTACATATATATACATATATTTCCCTGGCTCTGTTCGAAGGGCTGTTGGTTTTTTAGTAACCAATGGCGAAATCATAGGCAAAGCAGAGATGGGCAACCACCCTTGAAGAAATCCTCCTCTACTGCTGCCTCATTCGTTCTTCTTTCTGAGCTATATAATCATCAGAGAAAAGGCTAAACCCGCTGTGGCTGCAAAAACCGCCATTGGGAGATTTTGCCGAGCCAAGATACGAGCTAAATTAATAAGGGTAAAACCCACAAGTAAGTAGAATCCAAAATGAGGAGATGACTCCATCCATAAATCAAATGAAGCCCAAAAAAACTGGACTGAAATTTTTGGCAAAAAAAAAAAACAATTAGGGCAAAACATTTGGGGGAAAATTAGAGAGGAAAAAGAGAATCGGCATACCTTTTTTTTGTCGAGAGTTGCTGCTAAATGTAGTCTTCTATTTGCTCATTGCCGAGCCAAGATCAATTAGGAGATGGCGAGGAGATGTTTTGGCAGAGATGAGGAGTAGTGTTATTTGGTTCTAAGTGTTGGCTATTGGCTGGTAGTGATGTTTCGGTAGAGCGAATGAATAAACATGACCACTGATGGTTGGTTTCACTAAGTGGTCAATATCAATTCTGCGCCTCTCCTCAGACTATTGACTTTGAATAAAATTTCAATTCCTTAGATTTCCTCCTTACTTGTTCAGTACCAAAATTTCAAACAAAGTTTTTTAGTTTCCAACATTTTAGTACATATAATATTTTACTAATATATTATTATTTGCTACTTTTAAATATTTTTGTGAAAATATTCATAATGGGTGAGAAAATTATGTTGCAATACTACAAGTGGTAAATGCACCTTGGTCCTGCTTCAAATAGTTAATTTTTTTATGACATCAAATAGTTGATCCGATATTAATATTGATATCATTTTCTCAAAATTGTGAACTAAATTACAACTTATTTATCTTTCTTTCCATTATTTTTGCCCAATACTCCAGAATTTTGTTTTGTTATTTTATAATAAGGAGAGATGATTTGTTTCAAATGGTTAATTTCACTTTAAATTATTGCACTAATATTAATTTACATGACAAAATTTGAGTTCCTAACAGTTAAAAAATTCATTAGAGAGCAAATACAGAATAACAATTGCTATAGTATATAAATATTTTAAATCAGATCGTGACAAGAGAAAGTTGTCACTAACTAGTTCCATTATTATCAGTGACAACAACAACCAAGTTGTCAAAGAAAGGGGAATTATTACTGACAACATTTAGATAGTCGTCGCTAATGTAGTTTGGCGCGATGTGGCGGGAGTTCAACTGTGACGACAATCCAAGGTCATCACTGATGCCTTTGCTCCTTTCAGTCAATTGTGACAACTTTTCGTGTTGTGGCTAATGGGCCCCATTTTGTGACGACTAATTTTCGTCACTAGGAAATGTTGTCACTAATAACCAAATTTCTTGTTGTGATTCAGACCCTTGAGGATATGTTAAGAACTTGCATCTTAGATTTTAGGGGTAGTTGGGGTCAACACATGACCTTAGTGGAGTTTGCCTACAATAATAGTTACCACTCATCAATCCAAATGGCACCATACGAAGCGCTTTACGGAAGGAAGTGCCGATCACCGATCTATTGGGATGAAGTAGGCGAAAAGAAGGTTCTAGATCCAACCACCATTCCATGGATGGAGGATGCCCAAGAAATAGTCAAGTTAATACGTCAAAGAATCCAAACAGCTCAAAATCGACAAAAGAACTACGCGGACAATCGAAGAAAAGACTTGGAGTTCTAAGTTGGAGACCGTGTTTTCCTTAAGATCACGCCACTATGAAGTGTCACTACGGATAGAGGAAAGAAACTTCAATCTCGGTTCGTAGGACCTTATATAATTCTTCAGCGAGTTGGGAAAGTGGCGTACCGACTCGAGTTGCCACCAAATTTGTCCCGAGTTCATGACGTCTTTCATGTCTTGATGCTCAAAAAGTATTACCCCGCTCCAACTCACATCTTACAATCGAAGGAGATTGAGATAGACGAATCACTCACCTACGAGGAGAAACCTGTACAGCTACTCGACCGAAAAGTTAAGGAGCTGAGAAATAAACAAATCCCTCTGGTGAAAATCTTGTGGAAAAATCACGGGGTAGAGGAGGCGACCTGAGAGGTGGAAGAGGAGATGCAAAGGAAATACCTTGATCTATTTATGAATCACGGTAAGAAATTTCAAGGGCAAAATTTTTCTAAGGGGGAGAAAGTGTGAGAACCCGAAATTTTCTAGCCATTATTTTATTTATTTGCACACATTTTCAATATTTTATTTATTATGAAAAAATTTTAAATAATTTTTATGAGTAAATATAGTTTTTAAATCATTTTTCTAGTATAAATTAGTTCATGAGATATTAGGAGTGTATATCGGACGTGGGACCCTCTAATGCGATAAGTGTGATAAATTCGACCAATTAGGTTAAGTTTTATATACAGGGATTAATTTCCTAAGTGTTAAGAGATAATTAGAGATTATTTAGATGGATTAACATTGGAGAGACAAAAGGATAACTTTAAACCTATAGGGTGACATGTGTCACTTTCCTATTCAAGTTGGACTTTGACCATCTTACCTCAACTTTACTAAATTACCAAAATTGACCCAAAAATCATCTTCATTTCAACCCTCTTGGCCGAAACTCTTAAGGAGAGAAAAGAAGAGAAAGCTTCAACTACTTCATCCATTTCTTGCACAAATTTTGTGATTCAACCACCAAAACTTGAAATCACTCCATAAAAATCCTTTGCTAGGTAGGATTATAGAAGGTGGTGGAGTTGTTTTGGAAGAAAGAAACCTAAGCTACTACCTTTCTTGAGGTGTCAAGTTATGGTGTGTAGAAATTTATTGTTTGTTTCTAATAATGGTTTATTAATGACTTGTGGTAGCTAAAAATGTTATTTTGTGAAGATTTGATGACTTTTAGTGGAGTTTGATAAATTTCTGATTTTATTCATGATTTTTCTTATTTTATATGATAAGTGTTGGTTGGCCATGGATGATGGCTTGATATGGTGTAAAGTGAAGCTTTGGTGTGTTAATTGTAGTTATTTGCGAAAAATTTCAACTTTGCGCGGAAATTTCAGATTTAGGGTTTCAATTTGGGGCTTTTCTAGGGTTGTTGTGGAACTCTTGATTTGGCTTTGATTAAAGGGCATTGTAACCCTAATAAGGTGTATTGAATGGCTTGTGAATTGTAATTGTAGTTGTGGTGGTGTTGGATGAATATAAATGATTAATTGTAGGATGGAAAATCTGAAATTTTAGGGGTTATGCTGTCCAATTTTTAAGTTTAGGTGATTTTATGGTAATTGGCTTGTTGTGAGTGGACATGGGTGCCTTTAGGGGTTGTCCAAATATTTGGCACCCCTTGTTCCGTATTTTGTTTCCAAGTTCTATTTTGGCCATGCATTAGTCGCTTTGATTAGGTTTATGACTCGTGTGCGAGTCTCACTTGCGTTTGTGATTGTTATAGGACGTGCCGGTGACTCAAGGCATACGTCGGGCGGAAATTTGTGACTTTACTTTGCTTGAATTGGTGAGTGTACTACTCACGTGATTGTTATTTCATGGCTTTATTGTACTTGAAATCTGTGACTGGATTGTTTGTGATTATTGCTTATGCCAGATGAGACGAGGGTGTACTTCATCACTCTCGTATTCTATGGATTATTTGACTGTTTGCTGTATCACATAGAAATTTCTTGATAATACTTGAACTGATGTCGTTTGGACGCGTATCCAATGACCATTACTGTTACCACTGATCTCAACCTCATTGGAAGTCAATTGACTCGAGCCAGTAAGGACTTGGTCGAGGAAAATTGACAAGCCATGGGGACCGTTGTGGGGAATCTATGGGTATGAGACCCTTGATTCCGGTATACTCGAGTATTACCATTTCTGATCTGCTTGGTGTTCGGGCCCGGTAACGGGAATGTGTGGTGGACGGAAATCGGAGTAAAGTGGGGTCTACAGTTGTGATTATTCTTTGTATATTGACGGAGAGTCGATGAGATGAGATCAAGTATGGCAAATGAGGAAAAGAGCTCTT